TTAAAAATTAAAAAAAGTGCGAGAGAGAAAAAAACGAGCAGAATAAATAAATAAAGAAAGAAAGAAAGAAGGAAAGAAAGAAAGAAAGAAAGAAGGAAAGAAAAAAGGAAATAAAGAAAGAAAAAAAGAAAGAAAGAAAGAAGGAAATAAATAAAGAAAGAAAGGTTCACAGATTGAAAAGTGAAAACGCAGAGAAAGTGTGCTAGAGTAGGAAAGAGAAAGAGATAGTGAATGAAGATGTTTTTCTTTTTCTTGTTGATATACATGCGTATGCAATGTATTACTTACTCCACGTGTTTTCGTCCTTCCTTCTTGTTTCTCTGTAATCCAAAGCCGTACTCAGCGCTGCACTCGAATAGTAAAAATAGCAGTAGCAATAGCAATAGAGACGGCGATGTCACTGTCCACCATGGGACGCTGGTTGCCATAGATTTTTATAAGCGAAATGCCGACATTGTGTCAAGTTAAAAGTTGTGAATGACGAGCCGAATTTTATCGTCTTGTTTATCGGTTCTGCCCATGCAAGGGAATTTTCACTTGATTTTTTTGGTGTTGATTTTGGTGTGACTATTCTCATTGTACCTGTGTACATTTGCAATTTCCGGTAGCGTTAGAATTGCCGTTAGCTGACTATACTGGTAAAAGTTTGGGGAGAATACATGAAAAATACGAAATGAAAGGGTATGGAAGTTTTGGATTGGGGAAAAAAAGGGGGAAAAAGAGAAAGCAAAATAAGGGAAGTTGTGATTGTTACAGATAAAAACTATAAAGAAAGAAAACAAAAGAATGTATAGAAGCAGAAAGAAAGAAAGAAAGAAACAAACAAAGAAAAAAAGAAAGAAGGAAGGAAGAGAAAGAAAGAAGGAAGGAAGAGAAAGAAAGAAAGAAAGAAAGAAAGAAAGAAAGAAAGAAAGAAAGAAAGAAAGAAAGGAAGGAAAAAGAGAAAGGGGGAAAAGGAAGGAAGGAAAGGAAGGAAGGAAGGAAGGAAAAGAAAGAAAGAGAGAAAAGAAAAGAAAGAAAGAAAGAGAGAAAGGGAAAGAAAGAAGGAAAAAATAAAGAAAGAGAGAAAGGAAAAAGAAAGAAACAAAGAGAGAAAGGAAAAAACAAAGAAAGAAATGGAAGAACCAAAGAAAGAAAGAAAAAAAGAAAGAAAGAAAGAAAGAAAGAAAGAAAGAAAGAAAGAAAGAAAGAAAAAGTAAAATATATCAGAGTGTAAAAAAATATCAAAAGAAAGAAAGAAAAAGAATTCAGAGTGACAATGTGTAAAAGCTTGTGGGTGTGGATAGGGACCCTGAAGTTATATCCAGGCAAACCTTCCTGCCGTCCCCGGGTTAGAGATAACGACCATGTCTAACTTGTGTAACATAAGAAGGGATTCCGAACGGACTGGGATTAGATTATTAAGCACAACATAAACAGCAGAGAGGGCAGGGACAGTTGGCCTTATGTGCCCGGGGGCCTTAAAGAGATGATTCCTGTTATTTCCTATCCTTTCTCGATCACAAAAAGAGAGACAGAAAAAAAAAAAAACAGATCAAAAATAGTATTAGCCGTGTAAAAAGATTATAAATAACGATTCGTTTTTTGTATACAAATTAAAACTTAAGCTATTTTTGTACGCGGTCCTTATTATTATTATTATTATTATTATTAACTGCTTAAGTTATTGTTGTTTTGGATATGCTCTTTTAAGCGTATATTTACAGCGACTTTATACCGGTCTTCTACTTACTGTTCCTTTTGTAGATTGTCAATTTTGCTATTTGATAAAAGAAAAAAAAATATTAAAATAACAAACATAAAGTTCGGTATACAAATTTAAAATTAACTTTATTTTATTCTTTTATCCTCAACACTGAACTCAAGTCAAGGAAAAATACTATTATATAACTTACATTAACTAAAGCATCTTAGTCTGGTACAAGGCCAATTGAATAAAGAGATTGTATTTTTTAGCAATACAAACTACCTAGTTTTACAAAGGCTCCATGTTTTTTTTTCTTTCTTTGTACCCGTTTTATTTTCATTCAACATCCAAGTACCATATTACCTTTGGAGATGAAAACGTAATTGTTTTTATTCCTCTGGGAAGAAGCCGGGATGTGCCTGGCCGACTAAAGAGACAGTTACATGGCATTATTTTTAACCTGGTCTGATACCTTTTTCATTCTAGCGATAATGTTTTTTTTTCTTTGGTTCCAGTCCACTAACGTGTCTGCACTTTAGGGTAGCCTGAACTTCAAACAATACGATAAAAGTGAATGCTATATAAATATATTACACCAGCATCCTGCTTGTTCGAGAAAAGTAAGAACCAATGTGATTACGACGAGGAAGCAGCAGCAGTAACATGATTTGTAGCAGTGACTGCCATACCACAGCTAACGTTTGACAAAACCAGTGTTACATGAGGTGAACATATAACATACATCGATAGATGAAAATTCTCTGACTGTTTATATACGTCTGTCTGCGTTTTCGTTACTTTGTGCAAGAAAATACCAGGGAGTGATAAAAAAGTTTTCGACATTATCCACTTTTCAAAAATAGTCTTTCAATGGCTAAAAATCAGATCAGAATATTGATTTAGGGATGTGGGCTAGACATAAAAAAAAAATCTTCTTAATCTATGTGCCGTATCCCCTCACGAAGTAGACGATCATGGTTCTCCACAACTTCCTGTCCTTCGTAGCTTTGAGTAAATTTTGTCTTTTTGTTATTTCTTCTACACATCGTTCCGCCATCCATTTACTAAAGTTCATCAACTATATTATGAAGCTGATTTCCTTTGTTCTTCTTCCCTTCAATCCGTCCCGTGAGTATCATATTCTCCAAACTATCTTTCCTCATTATGTGCCGTAGAAGTTTCAAAAGTCTCTTCATGAGGTTATGTTTCTCTAAAATTTCGTTATTGCTCACATGTTCGGTCCATGGCATCCTCGACATACTTATGCAGAACCACATTTTTGTTGCTTCAAGTCTATCTTTGAGGAGATTGTGCAGAATTCACTGCTATATATGAAGACCAATATTACATAACTGTTCAGTACTCTTGTCTTTATTTGTAAAGAATTTAATGTTTCATAATACTTTGCTTAGCTTTTAGAAGGCATCTTTTGCTATCCCAGTGAACCTTCCGATTTCAGAGTCATACTTTCCATCCTCTGTTAAAACACTTCACAGATATATAAAATAATAATAATTAATATATACCTACTATATATATATATATATATATATATATATATATATATATATATATATATATAAAAGAAATATGTTGTAGTGGTTCCAACGAGAGAAAAGTATGTATATTAAAAAGAAGAGGGGTGCCGCAAACGTTTTTGGTTGTAATGTGGATTTATTGAGAAAAAATATTATACTTTGTCGGATTGCCAACACACAAACAGAATGTCTCATATCGAGAATATTCCACATTGAACATGAAGAAAAATTAATCATTTTTAATAATATGTAAAATCTCCACTTTCACCTGAAGACGGTTGCGAGACCAGACCAGAAACACGTGTCGTGAAATTATGTAAAACAAAGTATAATATTTTTTCTCAATAAATCCACATTACAACCAAAACGTTTGCGGCACCCTCTTTTTTAATATATATATATATATATATATATATATATATATAGAGAGAGAGAGAGAGAGAGAGAGAGAGAGGCTGCAAAAGTTACTACACCACATGATGACAACTAACGGTAGAATGTATAAGCTGAAGTAACTTTTTTCTTATATGGGCAGTGTCCGCCCTGGGATAGGCGATCATGGCTCACCACAATTTCCGGTCGTTCGTACCTTTGAGGAAATTTTGTCTTTTTGTTATTTCTTCTACACATTGTTCCGCCATCCATTTACTAAAGTTCATCAACTATATTATGAAGCTGATTTCTTTTGTTCTTCTTCCCTTCAATCCGTCCCGTGAGTATCATATTCTCCAAACTATCTTTCCTAATTATGCGCCCTAGAAGTTTCAACAGTCTCTTCCTGATATTTCTCTAAAATTTCGTCGTTGCTCACATGATCGGTCCATGGAATCCTCGGCATCCTTCTGTAGAACCACATTTCTCTGCCTTCAAGTGTCTTCTTTATCTTTGACGTGACTGTCCAGAATCACTGTCATATATGAGGACCGATATTACATAACAGTTCAGTACTCTTTTCTTTGTTTCTAAAGAATTTACTCTGCTTCTTAATACTTTGCTTAGCTTTTAGAACGCACCTTTCGCTATCCTGATGCGCCTTCGGATTTCAGTTTCGCACATTCTGTTCTATGTTAAAACACTTCAAAAACCATATTTTCAATCAGTTAATTTATAATATTTGCACACACACACACACACACCACACATCCTATACAAATTGGATTACAACAAAAAACTTGACCACATACTCCATCATCACATAAAGCTTAAAAAACTTAACAAGAACCCGATCAACCAACTAAAATCAAAGCTTAATAAACTTATTAATGCTAATAATGCTGAACAAACTCTTTAAAACTCCCTAACATTTTTGGTGATTATAGACCTGGTTACATATAAGGCACTATAAAAACACATAAACCTAACTATCCTCTCCGTCCTATCATATCGCAAATTCCAACTCCTGTATATCATCTAACAAAATACATCAACCAACTTATTACTCCCTACCTTCCGAGTAAATATAGTGTTATGTCAACATTAGAAGTAATTCAAATCCTAAAAAGTGAAAAACACGACAATGAAATCATAGCTTCACTTGATGTTGAAAACTAATTTACCAATGTCCCCGTTAGTGAAATTATTGACATAATTATAAGAAATATATACAGTAACTCATCTTTACCCCAACTTAAAATTAATCCTAATATATTACGGAAACTACTATTAGCTTGTACTACTGAAGTCCCTTTCTTCGATCATAATAATAATATATACAATGTGATGATGTCTCTATGGGTTCAGTACTGGATCCGACATTTAGAAATTTCTATATGTCGAACCTCGAAAATAAGATATTTAAAGATTTTAAAAAACCATCCATCTACCTAAGATACGTTGATGATATTCTTATGTTAGTTAAAAATACAGATGAAATACTCAACTTCAAAAACGTTTCCAAAATAATTCTGTCCTTAAATTCACATATGAATTCAATACTACTAATAAAATCCCCTTCCTTGATATATTGATAAACACAAATAATAACAAATTTACTATTTCGCCATATAAAAAAACCTACAAGCATAAATTCATGTACACTTAACTACAAGAGCGAATGTCCATATTACTACAAAATAGCTATTATAAAACATCTAATACATCGTGCAGAAACTAATTCATCCACAAAACAGATTTTTTACAGTGAACTAAAGAATATAAAACAAATATTTATTAATAATAGCTTTCCAAACTATATAGCTGATGAACAAATAAGATGCTTTCTTAGAAATCTCAATACTAAGCAAATAATACATAATACTGCGTCTACTAATCTCAAACATATTAATCTCCTATATCGTAATCAAATACATGCTAATTATAAACAAGATGAAAATATACTAAAAAATTTAGTAAATACTAATATATCAACAACAGATCCTAGCAAAAAAAATTAAATTAATCATATACTACACTAAATCTAGTATATCCAACTTAATTCTTCGCAATGATTCTTCTCCCCCGGTTAGCGATTTGCAAAAACCCAACATAGTTTATAAATTCAAGTGCCTTTTGGGAGATTGTATCTTCAACGAATTAAATAATATTTATGTTGGTCACACCACAAACTTGCTTTCACGACGCTTGACACTACATTTGAATGAAAACTCTAATATTTTTAGGCATTTAAAAAAACATGCCTGGCCGCACACACAATTCCGTAAAATCCTTGTCGAAAACACAATTATACTTCGACATGAAAACAATAGACAAAAAATAAAAATCCTTGAAGCAATATACATCAAACAGTTGAAACCCAACCTAAACAAAATCAACTATGGAATCTCTCCAAATATCCTTAAATGTCTATAATTGGTAACAGAAGCCATTGGTTTATACCAACGGCTTCCCATACTTAATACTTCTCGAATTCACTCTTGCGTGGTCATGTGTGACGTCATGAACTGCGGTGCGATTTTCGCTTCAAGTGTCTTATATGCACGCGTTTATCGTTGCTAGGAAATCATCCATGTAAACAATCATAGACTATCATCACTGAAAGCTTAGATTGGATTAAAAAATATGGATCAGTATTGTGATTTTCTTTCTTCATTTAATGATTAAGCTTATCAGACGTTATGAAAAGAATTTATATAAAATAAATAGACAACACTTGTCTATATTATTTAATGAAACATGTATGAATGAAAAAATGCTGCCTAAATACACAATATGTATATATATATATATATATATATGATAAGCTGACCTAACAACTTTTGTTATTCCAGATTGAAGGAGAACGCTCTATTAACTATTTGGACACACTCTACTAAACAATGCTTATTACAGCATACAGTTCTAATTTGGTGTGACAGCTGTACACAGAATGATTCATGAAAATGTGAACATGCGTAAAATTAGTGTAAAATTTGTTTCGATATTGCTCAGTGACAAAAGGAAGACAATACGTCTTGATGACAGCAGGGAGATGGTTGATGGGCATCAAAACTGTCCCTTACTCTCTCTACAGTCCAGACCTTGTATCCTGTGACTTTTGGTTGTCCCCTAACCTGAAAAAGAACCTCAGGGACAGTCATTCTGAAGACATTGATAAGATGATGGCGGTTGTGACAAGGGTTCTAGACACTGCCAATTCTACGGGGCCTTCACAACGTGGCTGGTTTAGTACAATAAATGCACTGACGTCAGAGGATTTGACTTTGGAGATTAGAGTTTTGTACATTTCGAAATCAATAAATGTCCCTCCTGAAATGGTTTTGGAAAATTCTGAATGCACATCATATATGTAGTAAGAAAATGAATTACATACACACACACACAAATACCCACAAATACATACACACACACACACACACACACACACACACACACACACATATATATATATATATATATATATATATATATATATATATATATATATATATATATATATATATATATATATATATATATATATATATGAAGTAATATAGTTTTAAGGTGTGCTATAATTATGGGATAAAGTGATCAATATCAGAGATAGAGCGTATGTAAATATAAATTAAAAGTGAACATTTTCAACACTCAGAGGCGATAGGCTGTTTCATGCTGGACGCAATCGTCAGGTTGCCTGACGATTGCGTCAGCATGAAAACAACCTGTCGCCTCTGAGTGTTTTTTTCAATATTCACTTTTTATACATATATATATATATATATATATATATATATATATATATATATATATAATAGTACCCGAATCTAAAGGGATGATAAGAGAATTTATTAACTACTTTTCAACAGAGCATCTGTTCACTTTGGCTTCCTCAGGTTACAATTAAAGATAGACAAAACTCTGTTCAAGAGAAAATATCTCGGGGTCATTGAGGATAAGTAACAATCATAAATCAAATTAAATCATTTACCTTATCTGCTTCAATGTCCAGAGACACAAAAGGGTGCCTTCAACACGGTGAACATCTGTTATACCGGAACGTACCTATTCTATTGTAAATAGACTCTCCCACAGATAAGTAGTAGTAGTAGTAGCAGTCCCCAGTGGAGCTCAGTGAGTTGTGTGAGCCAGTCGATGTCGGACATTAAAGTATGAACCCCACAACTAGATTGCTGCGTTATTAACTATTATTGCAAGTTCCTAACGTTTTGTACGTCGAACCTAATTACGACCGACTTAGTGAAATACAAGCCTCCACTGTGAAAACTACTCTAGAACAACATCATTGATATATATATATATATATATATATATATATATATATATATATATATATATATATATTGCTTCAAACTTTATTTTTATTGAATACATGTGTTTGAAATAGACGTCCTGCTTTTATTTCTGTTTTAAGACAGTGTGTATCACCTATATCGTTTTGCTCACTCGGGAAAACTTAATGAAGAAAATGTGCGCTTTTTTATCGAATGCGAAATCCGTTTGACGTAATACACATTGTTTTAAAGTAAAAAGGGACGTTTATTTCAAACACGGGTATCCACAAAAATAACGTATGTCGAATTAAAAATAAATCCATAAATTTAGCATGCGATGAACTTGACAGAAGAGTGAAAAAGAATGAAAAAGAGCTCTTAGATTCATTGAAAAAAGAATAGAATCAATTATGAATTTATACCTTCAGAAACTTTTGCAACGAACGCCAAAGTTTTGTGCTGCAGTAATCAAGGCTAAAGGAAGATATTTTGACGAGAGCAAAATTTAATCATAAAATGCTTTTTTTTCTTTTTATCATAAAAAACTCTAATAAAAATCATGTCTCAGTTTTTTAAGAATATCTAATAACTTTCTCTTATTTAAAGTACAAAACTATTATGGATCAAATAAAAAATTAACAGGGGGTCGGAGTTTTCAGCTGTAATACACACACACACACACACACACACATACATATATATATATATATATATATATATATATATATATATATATATACAGTAAAAGGCCTGCGTTGAAACTAACTGTCACTGCTGGGTGTTAATATCAATGTTCATTTTTATACATACACACACACACACACACATATATATATATATATATATATATATATATATATATATATATATATATATATTATAATAAATCCGTTGGTATATAATCCAAGTGGATCCTAGTAGTATAAAATATTATAACTGGTTCATTACAGAGCAAATAATTAGTACACAATAAAACCCAAAATAACCTCATATGGCGAATAGGTTTATTTCAACCGACGAAAACTTCGTCAGTCTTATTCAACCCCTGTACAGACTGAGTTCGTGCTGGAATTAGAAATTTAACTAATACTACAAAAAAAGAAATGTGTTGAAAAATTAATACCGAATTTATCCATTTCAATGTTTCAGTCAGACGAAAGGCACGAGACAGTCGTCAGGAGAGAGTGAAAGTTATTAATCTTAAAAAGAAAGTTTGGTTTCTTTTTTTCTCACTTAAGTCAAACAGCATCTCTGATATGTCTTTTCTGTTTCTCCACGCGATCAAAACAGAAAGCTCATTGTTTATGATGCATTGGCAGGACGTAAGGTACGTGATGAGAAAGCAAGGAAAGAATACGCAGACTTGAATCAGATAGCGTCTAAGTATTATAAAAGCTGCGGAAGGATTCAGGTCCTGCATTCAAAGCTTAAATGATATCATACAAGAAAGAAAATTAAAATGCTATTTGCGACTTTTCTAGAAATGATAAAATTGACAAGACTACACTAATCCTCACGAATAATCTGTTTCGTGTTTTTTGCCCATCTTTGAAAAGTCAAATCACAATCGGTTGCAGTTCCTAATACTCAGATAATATTTATTTTGACCTGTTCTTTTGTAAGGCATACCAGGTTCCCGTTTTGTTGTCCAGTTTAATCCCTAACCTGTGGCTTAGGAGTAATCCTGCAATTCGGACCCAGCCCATCTTCAAATAATATATATATATTTAAAAAAAAAATAAGCTCGTTAAATGCATGCATGTAAAAAAATGTCACGAGAATTAAAAATGAATAAGAGAATTTTCTCTCTAGATTCATATGACTTAAACGTGATGAACATTCGGTAATAATCAAAACTCGGGATTAATATGTTTTGTTCTGACACGTGAGTAATTTGCGAGTGGAAATTATGTTTGTATTGAGCAGATATGATATTGTTTGCGCATGCGTGTTTTTGTGTGCGGTGGTTTAGATCTTTGTAGGAGTGAATGAAAGCAATAAAAAAGAAAATAACTTATTTTATTTCTTTACTTTCTCCTCTTCTTTTTGCTTCCTTTATTTTTCTTGTCCCTCTTGTATTGAAAGAGAGAAAGAGAGAGAGAGGGGTAGAATAAAACGGAAATGAAAAGCGAGAGATAGGGATAGAAAGAGAGAGAATTATATAGCTTTAGTGGGGAGTGCAAATACATGAAGAGGAAAGAGACAGGGAAAGGGTAAAGAGAAAGAAGAGAAAATGTTATGATCTAATAGAGAATGAAAGAGTATGGAATAACAGAAGGGTTACAAGAGAAATAAAATGTTGGCGGGGAGTGCAACTACACGAAGAAGAGATAGAGCAAAGAGAAAAATGTTAAGTGTTGATAGAGAGTGACACCTTGGGAATAAGAGAGCATAGAGAGAGAGAGAGAGAGAGAGAGAGAGAGAAAGTTTGTAGGGAATGCAACAACATGACGAAAAAAAGGGAGATAAAACAGAGGAATTGGATTGAGTTGAAAGAGAGTGAAACACCATAGGAAGAAGGGAACATAGAGAGAGATTTAGAGAAATATAAAGTTGGTTTTGAGTGAAATGACATGATGTAAAAAGAGAGAAAAAAGAGAGAAATTGCATTGAGATGATAGAGAGTGAAACATCTTGGAAATACGTGAGCATAGAGAGAAATGTAGAGAAATAAAATTTTTGTTGGGAGTATAAGGACATCACACAAAAAGAGAGAACAAAGAGAGACATTGAATTCAGTTGATAGAGAGTGAAACACTGTGGGAATAAGGGAGCTTAGAGAGAGTTAGATAAATACAAAGTTTGTTGGGAGTTTAAGAACATGATGCAAAATGAGAGAAAAAAAGAAAGAGAAAAGAGAGAAACTACATTCAGTTGATAGAGAGTGAAACACCGTAAGTGGCATAGCGAGTTCGAATGTAGTTCGTCCGAGCACTTCCCATGGTAGTAGTGATACAGGAGTAAAAGACCCGTCACATCCCGCCTGTGAGAGAAACTTTAGAGGTGGAAAATAATTCTTCTCCGACAAGGACTCGGAGACGCTCTTGAACTCTATCGAGACTAGAAAGTGAGGACTAGGCAGCTCCCGCCCAAATATGGCATCTCCATCTTGGTCTAGTCTGGCTCTTGTAAAGCTAGAGAATAGCATAAGGCGAGGGGTGTTTACTGGAGTGGTACATGGAGCCGATCATTTATTGCCTGCAACTTTAATGATGAATCGTAATTAAGAGTTCCACTTGAGATCGAGTGTGAATTTGAGGCCTAATATTCTCTCAAGGCATGGAGCCTCCTCGAGCAGACATCCGCTCATTGTGACTAACGGTAGTTTGGCGCCTGATCGGCGGTGATGGAATATAACCGGTTTGGTTTTAAAAGCATAGAATGTAACCAGCCACTTTTTCCCACTGGGAAATTAGTGTTAGATCGAATCAAGAGCTTTAGAGGTACTCCAGTGTATTGTCGTATCATCGGCATGGATATTTACAAATGATCGCAGTATACACTGAGGGAGATCATATATGTAAATCAGTAAGAGGGTTGGTCCGAGAATAACCCCTGGGGGATGCCTGCGTTGACCATCAGGGCTTCGGAGGATTGGCCGTTAATAACTAATTTCTGGGATCTACCAGTTAGGAAGGATTTTATATTTGAGAAAACCCTTCCTGTGATTCCATAGCTGGAGAGCTTGTGAGGCAAACCTTTGTGCTACACCTTGTCGATGGCCTTCGAGATATCTAATGCTATGGTCCTTGCGGTGCGTGTGTCGTCAAGGGCCTCACTAAGTCTATATGTAATGGTAATTAGGACATCAGCAGTGGATTGGATTGATCGAAACCCATACAACTCGTCGCAGAAGAGGTAGTTCCCAAGTTCTGGATGAACTTCTTGTTTACGAAAACCTCAAAAGGCTTACTGATCATACTGAGGTGACTAATGGGTCTGTACTGGGAGAGGGAGGGTCGCTCACTAGCGTTCTTGAAGACCGGGCATACGCTTGCCTTCTTTTACAGGCTTGGGGAGGTTATCTTCTTTAAGCAGCGGTTAAATAACGTTGGTAAGATTAGGGATAATTCTGGTTTGATATTCTTAAGGATGACCACTGGAATTTAGTCTGGGTCAGTGACATTTTAAAGATAGAGGCTTTTGATGAGTCTAGAGACTTTTCTAACTTAGATGAGTATAATACTGAGATTTTGTTCAGTGAGACGTGGGCATTTAGGGAGGAGATGCGCTTTGCCATCTAACGTTGAGTCTGAGGTAAATATCGAGACGAAGAACTTTGCCTTGTTTGACGAGGCCTATTCAATTTTCAATTTCTTTATATCCTATACTAAATCTGATTTGTTATACACCAAGGTATCAGAAATGTTTAGTATTTGAAATATTTAATATTTACTAATGCCACGTCCTGATTTTTTTATAATGGATTCAAGTTATGTGATATCTGTTTTCATTCCAATCCCAAATCATGGCTTCTATAATGGAAAAGTTTTATCGTCAGATGTTTGTTATTAAGTCAATTATAGAGAAGGGCTCCTTATATGAAGATTTCAGTTTAAGTTGTTTCAATATTAAGAGGTTTCAATTAAATATTTATTGTCGAAAATCAAACAAATGCTGCCCGATGCCTAAAATAGGGATAAGGAAGAGGCTGATTAACGCTGGATTATATTTTAACCGAGTTATTAACAATCACAGACTTTCCCATTCGACAACTCTCACTATTTCAAAAATGAAATAAAAATATATAGAAAAGCGTACAGACACTACAGTAACCAACTATCAAAAGCGTCTGGCATTGAATATAAAGACTGTTACTGTGTTCAATGAGCTATGATTTCGTGAGTTCAATCCCTTGAATAGATATAAAGTTATTATAAAACTCGGTCAGTACAACTTCGATCCTAGCTAGAGTCAACCAGTCGTCTAGATACACTGATGAGCTGTGATACAGCGAAACAGTCTGTCTGTGGGTGACAATATATATATATATATATATATATATATATATATATAAATGGTGGTACTCATTTGGAAAAAACCTCGGATAGCTCAACTTTCAGTAGAGCAAATTGGTACCCGAGGAAAAATGGGGAATAAAAAAAGAAGTAAGAACATTAAACCAAGGCGAAAACAATCGTCCAGTGTTTAAGCTCCAAGTCCAAATAATAAAAAACAAAACAAAACGAGTAAAAAGACAACTACGTAAAGTGCTCAATACACTAAGTAGAGCAAAACCTAAGATAATCCTAAGGAGACTTTGGAAGACATTATCACTAAAACACGAAAGAAAATCACTATGATAGTTTGCCTGGCTCCTTAGGATTATCTTACATACATACATACATACATACATACATACATACATACATATATATATAATGGATTCAGGTTGAAAACTTGATCCATCGTCACATACTTCGACTAATTCGATTCTATATGTACATACAACATGATACAGTGCCTGATTTTCATGAAAGAAAATGATGCTGTGGGAAACCATTTTACCAGAATCAAAAGATAGGGAGTAAGTGAAATAATAGAAATAAATGTGTTGTAGGTATTGACATGGTTTGTTTCACAACTATTTTTGACGAGGTTGTTTATGTTTAAAACATGGCGCTAAAAAGCAAGAAAAAAATAGTCGAGCGTAAAGTAGTTCTCTGAATCATAATGTCCATTTTCTACAAACACTGAGTGAAAAGGTAGGCTTTCTTTTTTTTTATTAAAGCGAGAATTTACAATTCAAAACCAGGCTCTTTTTTTACTTCTACCTATAATATGCTAAAAGAGACGGGAACTATGTTTTAGGTAACGGTAAGTCTGTGTAACCGATTTTTTTTTAAACTGATTTTATATCCGGATTCAGGTTAATGGAGTCATACGCTGACATCCGATCCCAACAAAGGCGCGGGATGAAAAAAAAATAGCAGAGCTTCGTTTGTGAATTCTAAGATCGAATTCAGCGGATTACAGTATTTCCGTTTATTGTAATTTTTTGGGTACTTTTAGTAATTGTTTTTTGTTTTTTTTTGTTTTTGTTTTTTTTTGGGGGGGGGTTGCCTGACAGGAAAAAAGTTATTTTAATAAATTTCCGCCCAGATGTGGAGCTTCTACGTAAAACAGTGAAACTTGATCCATTTGAAAACTACTACAAAAATATCTCGTCAAAGTTATGCTAAATTCTGAATGGATCCGTGGAAATTCCCAGAGAATGGGAAAGAAAGAATGGGAAACGTATTAATCTCACGTATTTATTTTTAGAATTATTAATAGAACAAGATCATTAAACATAGCTTTATATTATATAAAATCAATAAACAAAATGGATAAAAAATAAAGGTAACAAGAAAAAAAGAAAGAAATAAACAAAGAAACAAAGAAGGAGTGACATCAAAAGAAAGAGTGAAAGCATAATACAGAAAGAAAGAAAGAGATAAAGTAAGAAAAGTGAACGAAAAAGAAATAATGAAAGAAAGCAAAAATGAAAGAAAGACAGAAAACCAAAGAGCGAAAAAAAGGAATGAAAAGAAAAAAAAACAAGAACGACGGAAAACAAAAGAATAAAAGAAATATGCAAAACAAAAGATAGAAAAAAAAGTGAAAGAAAAAGAAAAAGAAAATAAAAAGAACGAAAGAAAGAAAGCAAAAAGAAAGAAAAGCGGAAAACAAAAGAACGAAAGAAAGAAAGGAAAGAAAGCAGGAATGACGGAAAGCAAAAGAAAGAAAGAAAGAAAGAAAGAAAGAAAGAAAGAAAGAGTGAAAGCGAAAGAAAGAGAAAAAGAAGGAAAGAAAATGTGAAAGTAAAAGAAAAAAAGAAAGAAAGAAAGAAAGAAAGAAAGAAAGCAAAAGAAAGAAAGAAAAAGAAAGAAATAAGAAAGAAAGAGAGAAAAGCAAAAAAGAAAGACGGAAAACAAAAGAACGAAAAAAGAAAAAGAAACAAAGAAAAAAAGGAAAAACCAAGGAAATATAAAAACACAGGTTCGTTGAAATTTCAGTGAATGACAAACCTAATCAACACCGTCCACTGTTGTTCGGATGGCAGTAAAGTTTGAACCTACCCAGCAATGACTCATAGTAGTATTTTAATTAACATTTTTTACGGGTAACAGCTGGACGGCAACCTGGTAAAATGGCGTCTGACAAAAGCATGTTTGAAGCAGAGATGTATTGTTGAAAAAGATTGCACCCAGTGACATTGATCGATTCTTTACGGACAGACATCATCAAAATTGGAATGTCTTGTCAAAAAATATTAATAAATAAAAAAAAAATGGGTCTTATGGGTTTTCTTATTTCACAAAAAGACAGAATAGCCCAAGTTTTCTTTTTTTCAGCACTTTTAATTAAAGCTGAAGGTATCGGCTACCAAATCAAAATTTTTCCGAAAAGGGCAAAAAGATTAAAAAACGCCGTCTACTTGATTGACTTATGTATTGTATATTCATCCACGTAAGAAAATATAAAATATTTATTAAAATAAAAAGAATCTTTGAATCAAGACAATTTTATGAAAAATAGTTAATTTAATCTTTATTTGATTTAAATACACAAAAATTCACAAATTTTATTCATTTTTTTAATGTATTTTCATAACATGAACGGTTCTTATCCGTCGGTATGAGTCAAAAGTCAATTTGGGTGGGCGGCATGATAGTTGCCTTACCAGCTGACAACAGACATGCAACAGCTGAGAAATGAATAACTTGCGTTTGCAAGTATGGTAGTCCATAATAAAATGAAATATAACAAAAACCAATATTATTTTTTCTGTAATTTAATGTTCTTGATCTTCAAGAATTTTTTTTTAAATAGAACAATTATTTTTTTTTTTAAAGTTAATTCGGAAACACATTCTGTCACATGAAATGTTTGTAGAGATTGTAAGAAAAACATAAATACATTTATCACTTTTTGGTTTCAAAACTAAAGAATTTTCGTTGAAAACGATTATTATGATGTTTAAAGAAATAAAATTTCCACTGGGAAAATTTAAGAAGAAAATTTAAAAACCTTCTATAGTTTATATAATATGTACAGTGGATCAATTAGAAAAATGAGTTTTTTCACAGCAAAAAAAAAAAAAATGCAAAATAATTTCAATGCTTTACATGGAGACACGAGAAGTCAATTCATTTCTTTTAAATATTTCAACCCAAGCAAGACGGGAGTGCCAATAACACGCAAGGGGTTACTGAGAGTGGGAGCAAGAGTGTTTGAGGAAAGGATATAGACAAGGACGGGGATCAGGATCAAGGTCTCAGAAGATGTCGATTGATATTACGTTTGAATATTTGAAGATTATAGCTATCGCGGAAGCAAGTAAGAGAAAGGGAGTTCCACTGTCGGGAAGTGCAAGAGAAGAAGCTGTTGGAGTAGAAGAGACGGTTACATTTAACTGTTTCGACTGTGAGAGAGTGGGACCGAAATTAAATTCCTATTGAAACAATGTGTTTCTAGATTATATTTTAAAATTGTTTTGACCTCATTTTCTACATCTTCTGTAAATTAAAGCATTTTAAAATTATTATTTGAAAAAAAATAAAGTTTTCGTCCTTAAATTGAATATTGCAATTACCTAAATTCCACGTGATATATATATATATATATATATGAAGAAAAATATACGGAAAAAACAAACAAAAATCCTAATATGCCATTATGCTGTTTTAATGTTAATATGTTTTATGAATATGTCCTGAAGATGGTCTACTAGACCGAAACGTCCGACGTTGACATTATATTAATATTATAGATTTTGTTTTTTCCGTATATTTTTCTTCATACTGTCGGATCTATATTCATATATTTGCTTACACACACACACATATATATATATATATATATTAACTCATGTTTCATTTAATAATATAGATAAGTTTTGTCTATTTATTTTAAGTAAATTCCTTTTATACTGTTGAATAAGCTTTTTAGCATTATCATTGAAACACGAAAAGAAAATCTCTATGATAGTGATTTTCTTTCGACTTGTCTATATTATTTAATGAAACATGCATTAATGAAAAAAATTTGGCTAAATACACACAATATATATATATATATATATATATATATATATATATATATATATATATATATATATATATACGAGCAATAGAGTTTGAAGGATTTATACAAACCATTATATTAATTCATAGAGTCTAGAAGAATCCTCAACAGAATGCATTAAACATTGGACGGCCGATTCGTTCTATTTTGGGATTCACCAGCGTTGTATCGAAACGGTCCGGGTTCAAATTTCAGTAGTGAATGTGCATTACTGATGAGTCTCAAAATAAGCCGTTCAGTGCTTTCTGCTTTCTGTTGAGGATTCTTCTAGACTCAATGAATTAATATAATCCTAAATCCCCAAAATTCTATTACTTGCTTGACTCAGCTAAGGCTCTGCGATGGAGCGGTTCGGGGGAAAAGAAAGATGCGGCTCCTGGAGCACAATCCATTGGGTTATAAATACTTGGATGACTATCACCACGGAATTTGCGAGTAGAGGCGCTATATCAAGTCTATTCAGTTTCTTCTTCGTCTTGTATCGAAACGGTCCGGTTTCGAATCTCGGTAGTGGATGCGCACTGCTGATGAGTCCC